TTTCACGATAGGAGCCATCACGACCGGGTCAGTTTTAGGGTCGTGACATTTACCTCATTCAATAATAAATTTCTTCTTTGGAGAATGCAAGGTAGTTGCTAGCGTCTGCAGGGCCTTGTTACTCCTCTTGTCATTTCTTCTTTTGGACAGTTAGACAGTTTATATATCTTAGTTTATAGTTTTAGACGCTCATGACTTAGTGACACCCGATGTTTGGGGCTCGTTCTTCGTATTTTTCTATATTATATTTAGAGTTGATTTAGTTTATGAAAAATTTGAATGTTGAAATGTTTTATTAATTTCTTATAATCGGTTTAGTAGTAATATTTTGGGAAATAGGCTTGCCTTGTAACATGATAGGCGTCATCACGACATGGTTAGATTTTGGGTCGTGACATGGTTAGTTTACTTGTGGCATGTGATTCCATCATCATGCTTATACACGTGTAATACAAATAGAAGAAAAATCGGGTAACCTTTCATATTTACCCGGTAGATTACAGTAATATGAAGATATACAATCTTCCTTTCATTTATAGTCTCAATATGCCAACCACTTTGGTTAATATATTTGAAACTCAAAAAGTTTCTTTTGAGATTTACTATAATATCAATATCATGAACAACTTCATTCATCCGGGTAGCAATGAATTAGTTCTCAGGAGCTCTTAATTAATTTTTTACTACAAAATATTTTATTACACCATCCATATGGTGAATCTCTTTTACGGAGTAAATCATACCATAATAATTGCCATGGTCAAAATCATCATAAGCAAAATTATTTCTTACTTTAATTTTGACTTTAATAACTTTTTGTAAGGCATGTCAAAATATTTTTGGCGTACCACATGTACGCGACCAATGGCATATTCATGTAACCATACAATAATGTTCATTATCTTTCTTTCTCTCAAATCTCCCGTAGAGGTGAGTATTTATTCAATCATACATAAGCACATTCTTATGCATAATTTGTATCACATATATATTTTCATATTCACTTTCAGGAATGAGTCTGCATTTATAATGCTTATCACAAGTCGTATTATTTCAAAAATGGACTATACGTGCCTCATATTTACAGACCATATTGATACACATTTCCTTCACATTTGAAGAATTATTTTGAGAACCCTTATTGTTCTCCTTTTTACAATTACCATAATGATGACTATTATTGTTTTGATTTTTGGCAAGCCCATGTTCATTGCTCAACCACTTGTCTTCATTTAGACTTATTATGCACCGCTATCACATTCACTTCAAGAATGGAGCAAATCAAGTGGGACAAGCTTCATGCTTTTTCATGAAAAATACATTATTTTTCTTTTGTCATTACTATATTTTAAATATGGTGCATTGGACTCAAGCCAATGTTTTACCCATATAAAGGCATGTTAGGCCATATTTAGTTAGGACACGAATCCAACTCTTATCATTATGGAGCATCAGGACTCGAAGCCGATGTCTTACCCTCATGGTGCATTGGAACTTAAATCCAACGTCTTACCCTTAACAAATATCATAATGAGCCAAAATGTTTAGGGACTGACCCTCAAACCTTTAAAAATATATATGAACACTTCGTGATCATATGCATACAATAAGAACCTATATAAAGATTATTGCTATACAAGAGAAAGCTATATGAAACATTTAGCTACGTTGAAATGTAAGGATCATAGATAGGCTTCTCTGTCAACTTAGTAAGTTAAGATAAAATTAAAATTGACATAGCAAAACACGTTACAATATTCAATCTATTTCCCATACATTCACATAATATTCAACTTAGTCTTTCGTGCTATGAAACTTATAGTTATTCAAGTTTCAAAATGGTCATACTGCACCGAGACTCTTCCTCGAGCCTCTCGGGCATTCTTTTAATAGTGCTCATTGGATCTTTAGTCACTAAGGACTTCGATCCTCTCAAATTCTTCTCTGATAGACTAACTGGGAATTGCTCTGGAATTAATCTCACCTTTCCACGGCAAGATATATCATTTTTCTTACTCCATCAGATAATATCAAGTATATCTCTGTTGGGAAGAAGATAAAACCCGACTGGCGCAAATAATCTCAATTTGTTAGAGACTCGTGTTGCTAACGTGTTACGAAATTTAGCTCAAAGTAATAATATAAAACAAGAAAATATACAAGAATGTAGGGAGCAAGAGAGAAGAGATTCTTATTTCTTCCATATATTCAGTATGTACAATGTGATGCCCAAACTCTCTATTTATTGGATGATATTTAGGTAATATAAAGGGATGTCATTAACATGGTATTAATTATTGAGATCATGGAGGGGTTATGGAGGTGTGGGAGTTACAACAATAATTGTAAGAAGTAGTGGCAGGTTAGTGGAGAAGAATAGTGGGAGTAACTTCTTTAGGAGTTATACAGATCCACTACATAATATAATATTTCATAACAGAAGCTAATTATTCTTTTACTGTCCACTATTGTATATATATAAATCAGATATTACTTTTTGTACGTATATATTATATATTCTGAGTATTCTTAGCAAAATTCCTGTCTTCGCAAATGTTTGTAATTATTCAAATCCCCATCAATTAGTTGTAAGATGAAATAGAAGTTAGTTCATGTATTTCTCTAACAACTATTCACATGAAACTAACAAGAAAAACTCTAAAAATATAAAAATATACTTGAAAAATGTAAACAATAAAATTAAAACATTCACAAGTGCACTAACACCTAAGTCAAAAAGGAAAAAGTCATGATACAAGATTATAAATTGGTTTCCCCATAACTTAATAACTTAGGCCCGCAATGTTATAAATATTTGCTTTAGAATGGGGCCATTTTTAGGTTCTTTTCTGACTTATGAATTCTGCTTTAGAAATTGTCAATCAATAAGTTATTTAATTTTGTGCTAAGTGTGATTATATTGTTCATATCTTTTCAAATGCAATCAACTGATTTGATCTTCTCAAATATCAAAGATCCTTCTGCTTCCTTTGACTAGCATTTAATTACTGTTCTAAACACATCTTAATTACTTTTGGCTTTAGTGGCTATACCATGTTAAAACCTCATGATTATTACTTTGATTTCACTTAAAATCATTCACACTAACTATCAGACAACAAAGTGGTTAATTCATAATCTTTCTTGAGGTTTACTTGCAGACATCACAATTACATAAGAGTATGTAAATTAAACACCATTAAGTAATTTTTTTCTTAAAAAAAAAATAGTGGTGACCGCTGATTGGGTAACCTTGTGCACACCTTGAGTATTTCAGCTGATACTTACTATTTTTCACTAGTACAGAGGTATAACATAATTCTGCCCGTCAAGGCTCAAGCAGATGGAAGAAATTGTCTCACGTTTGATGGATTATTATATGCACCAGAAGCAATCCCAGTATCAAAATCACATGTAATCTAGACAAATAGTATAAAGGGGATTTCATGGGTTACCTCTTCAAGCGTGAACACGGCTCTTCAGTCACGTGAGCCTTCAATTTCACATCGTCTCGTTGAAATCTCCATCACCCCCGCGATCATGATCTCCGAACGTTCCACGGTCTTCTACTGTGTTACTCAAATAATATTTGGAAATAGTAATTTCGTGTGGGCTAAATTTCTAGAAAAACTTGACTGAAAATTTCGACTATCATCTTCTTCTTTCTCTAGGTGGAAAAACTTATCTATTTATCGCACAAGTTTTAAGGTTAAAACCTTTTCCAAAACCTATTGGTTTTCTTTTCCACCAGAAAAAGGATTCCTTTATTTCCAATTATTTTGGCACAGCAGGGACCACAAAATTTAATTAACAAGGCTTCCAATTATGGAATTAATTTCTAATTTTCGAAATTAATATCTACCATAATTAATTATGAATTATTCCACTAAAAATTCGTAGTTGCACTCCTTATTCAATTTCGAAATTCATCCATTAAATATTATTTAACTCCCCATATTAAGATTCAGACACTAATCAATTAAATTAAATTACTGACAATTTTATTTATTGATTATTTCCTTTAGACTTTCGCTTAACTTATTTCATGTGTCGGATCCACCGGCCGGGTTTACACATGAAAACTTATAAGCTTTCATAAAGGTGTATCATCAATCTCTAACCCGAGACATGGATTCCATCAACTAACTATTACTTCGCCAATGTACATTATTATTATATCCAATTTACCAGGCATATTGACTCATGCACGAAAGAATCTCGCATTTTAATAAATCTAAACAATAATAATATACACAACTAATAATAATTATATCAAAATTAAGAGTATAAGTACATTTAATGGCTAGAGAGTTTATTTAAGTCAGTATAAAATACTTATCTCTACCTGGTCCATTCAATACATACAAAATGTACTAGCACAAGAAGTTGGAATTAAACCATTGACATAATCAAGATAAATTATATTTAATCTTGTGCTACAATCATCCATGATGGTTTGTCCAATTCCATCATTAGATTGTGAACTCAAACTTCATACTTACAAGAACCGATGATTTAATCTTCCATGTATAAGCTAAACTCTATACACTAAATCATCTACTATATAAGCAAAGACATAGACTAATATATTACCCGTTTAAAACTTTATTAAAATTGAATAAACAATTATTCCATAATAAATACTATATCTAAACCAAACTCATGGTTAATAATATATATCCCAACAGTTTTTGTGCTTTTGCTTAGATTCAAACCTAATTTTTCACGATTTTTATCCACTTTATTGACTGTTAAGCCATACCTTTGTATACTTAATTTTTTTAGTTATTAATAGCTCAAAAAGAATATATGAAACTTGCAAATTTGAAGAGTTCTGATTAAACAACTATTTCTAGTGAGAATCAAACATACAACCACTTTATCACAAGGCCTCAAAACTAATCCACTTAAATTAATTTGAGATTTTCATCAAAGTGGCTTTTAACCATTTTAATTAGTGTTATTATGTTTTTGTTTAGCACACTTTTAAAGGTAGTGTCTTTTTAAGGACAACTCTGCTCCATTGTCCACTTCTCCATTTGACATTTTAGTCTGCAAAAACCAGCCATTTTCCCCTTATATCATAACAAAAACAAAGACATCAAATTCCAAAATAATCCAAATATGTTCTTGAAAATCCTTTCAACATAATATCTATTGTTTTTTTCTTCATTATATGAACAAAAAAGACATAGAAAATCTTGTAAAAATGGGTGGTGCAGCATCAACAATTGCAGCAAAGTTAGCATTTTTTCCACCAGAGCCATCATATCAAGTTGATTTAGATGAGCAAACACAAAAGCTAAAACTGTTAGGTGTTCCTCAAAGTGAAAAGGGTGAAGTTTCAATTCTGCAAACAAAGAGAGGTCATTATATTTTTGCAGTTTTTGTAAGAAACAAAGCTGCAACTTTGACACTTCTTTATTCTCATGGTAATGCTGCTGATATTGGCCAAATGTTCCAGTTTTTCGTCGAACTTAGTGTTCGATTACGCGTTAATGTCATGGGGTAATTAGATCACATTCTTGTGAATTCTTTTGGTCTTTTTTGTTATTTTCTTGATTCATCTTTAAGCTGAATTTAGATTGATTTTTGCAGATATGATTATGCTGGATATGGAAGGTCTAATGGAGAGGTATGCATTTTCATTTTATTACATTTTATGCCTGGAGGCGGAGCCAGAATTTGAAGTTACTGGCTCGGGATTCTATCCTTTTTTATGTTACTGGATTCTAAAGTAAAATTTTGTACTTATTCGATGGATGCCACAATCTTCTAACTAGTTGTGCCTTCTCCGATTCAATCAGAGTGCTAATCTGTTCAGCCAAGCGATCTTTTTGTTCTTTAATCTTGGCCAATTCAAGTTGATTCAAGGCTCTTCGATCTCGGACCGATCCCATGGATCTTCTTAAGCTGCGGGAAGACTTGGTTTTGTCGAAGAGCTAAGCAGCCAATCGAGAGAATCGAAAAATGAATTTCTTAAGATAAATATAGAGTTTGCACTAAAATTATTGGGTTCAGCAGAACCCAGCGTAGAAACTCTAACTCCGCCCCTATGCCTTATTTTTGAGCTGGAACAGTAATAATCAAACTATACTTTGAGCTTTACAACAAGACTTAGCCAGTATAATATATTAAAAAGTGTTTACTCTTTCCTTTTTATACTTGATTAAATTCTTTTTTTCTTGGCAAATAGTATTGTTTTAATTTTGATTAGTGGTAATCACGTTTATGTCACTGAAACATGTGATCCAATCACTCCATTCCTTTCACTTTTTATTTTCTTTGGGAGATTAGATAACTAATTCTTGGACGGATTTGATTTATATACAATGATAACTAATTTAATTTCTTATACTTAGATTTGTATTATTACCCGTTATCCCTTTTGGTTCAATTTTCTTGTTATCTTGTTGTTGTTGTTGTCAGAGGCGAACTCAGGATTTGAAGGCCGCGGGTGCACTTTTTGATTTAACCAAAATCTGCTTTGTAGATAGGTTGCCCACTACTAATATATCACTATTTTCTAATGACATATACATGGGTATATAGAATTTTTGCCGAACTTTACGGGTGCCGGTGACCCCTCTACCTATAGCTTAGGATCGCCTCTAGTTGTTGGTACTATTTCCTTTCCATGGTTAAACACTATTATTTTCTTTTCTATAGTGTTGTGATTATGTTTTTCCTGAGCCGATGGTCTATCAGAAATAGCTGCTTTACCTTCACAAGGTAGGAGTAAGGCTGCGTATACACTACCCTCCCGTGCCCCACTGTCTATATTATTTTCGAGTTAACTATCTACACTTAGTATAATAGTTATTATAATTATCTTTTAGGTGAGCTGTAACAATTAAATTGTCAGCGTATAGGAATTAAACTGAGATCTAATTTTTTTGTGTTGTTTTTGTATGACTAGCCAAGTGAGCAAAATACATATGCTGATATAGAAGCTGTATACAAATGTTTAAAAGAGATTTATGAAGTGAAGGAAGAAGACATTATATTATATGGACAATCAATAGGAAGTGGTCCAACTCTTGAATTGGCCACAAAATTGCCTAAAATTAAGGCTGTAATTCTGCAAAGTGCAATACTTTCTGGACTTCGAGTTATGTACCGTATAAAGTATTCTCTCTGGCTTGACATATACAAGGTTAGTCAAATTTCCAGTTCATGATTTATTTAAGTTTCCTGATTTATGTATTAAAGTAACAGGTTTTTTTTCTCTGTTTTATGCAGAATATTGACAAAATCCCATATGTCAGTTGTCCCATTCTTGTGATTCATGTAAGTGTCCAAACACTCAACTAGTATACATGAATTACTATTTTCGGTTCCAAATATTAGTCGTTTTGATGCTTTGAATTTATTTTAGAATATTTGACGATTTGGAAAAACTTTAAAAGACAAATAGACCGACGGACCATCAATTTTCTTGTTTTTGTGGCATGCCCTAGGCACAAGTTGTTATCATATGACCCGGAGGTCACGGATTCAAGCTGTAAAAATAACTTCTTGCAAAAATGCAGGGTAAAGTTGCATAAAATAAATTCTTGTGATCCGGTCCTTTCTCGAACCCCGCGCATAGCGGAAACTTAGTGCATCAAGCTACCCTTTCTGCCTTAGGCACACAGAATTTGATTAGTTTTTAGATCAATACTTAGTTTAAACACCTTAATTAGCTGGCACACAATATTTAGTGGGATTAAGTAGGCTTATGATAAAAAAAGGGCAACTTGGTGCACTAAGCTCCTGCCATGTGCGGGGTTAAGGGATGAGTCGGAGCATAAGGGTCTATTTTACGCAGCCTTACCCTGCATTTCTACAAGAGGCCGTTTCCACGGTTCGAACATGTGAATTTCTAGTCACATGAAATCAACTTTACCACTTACACTGAGGCTCCCCTTAAGGCTTATGACTAAATCATGGATAACTGCATTTCTGCAAGAGGCTGTTTCTACGGCTCGAACCCGGGACCTCCTGGTCACTTGGCAGCAACTTTACCACTTACGCCGAACTCCCCTTCAGCCTTGTGACTAAATCATGGATAATTGCATTTCTGCAAGAGGCTATTTTCACGGCTCGGGCTCGAGCCCGTGACCTCGTGGTCACATGGCAACAACTTTACCACTTACGCCAAGACTCCCCTTAGGCTTATGACTAAATCATGGATAAGATTTTATTGACTGTCTCCTATTTATTTTGTATTTGCAACTTATAATAATTTCTTAGAAGATACCATTAGACATTTTCATTTTGGTCTGCAGGGTACAGAAGATGAAGTAGTTGATATTTCACATGGTAAAAAACTTTGGGAGCTCAGTAAAATGAAATACGAGCCCTTATGGATAAATGGAGGAAATCACTGTGACTTACAAGTCTTTCCTCAGTTCTTTACTCATCTCAAAAAGTTCATAACTTCAGTGGAAAGACAATCAGATTGCCAAACTATTGAGGAAAGTATAATTGACTTAAATTATACTCTTGATATTACAAATGAAATTAAGTGCAGACCAAGTATTGAAGAGATAGAGAAATCAAGAATCAGTACTGAACATAAAGAGATCATTGCAATAAGGCCTAGCACAGACAAAAGAGTACTAAAGCCAAGAATTAGTGTTGACAAGAGGGAAAAACCAAGAAAAAGCATGGATTACTTTGGAAAATCAAGAATTAGCACTGATCTAGCTGAGAGGGGGAGAAACAGCATTGATCGGTAAAGAATTTTCACACTATCAATATATATTAACATGTTATAGCAATGGACCTACCTTATTTTCGACGTTAAGTAATTGCAGGTTACCTATAATTATCTTTTAGATGATCTGATAGTGTAAAATTCTTTTGCACAACCTGTGCAGCACAGGCGGCACATTAACTTATGGTTACAATATGATTAGCAATATCATCATGCTGTATTTTGACCATTGGTTTTGAATAATTGCAGGTTTGGAGATATGATGAGATCAGTAGCATATTGCAATATTGACTGTTTGAAGCAGACACTATCTGAGGAGGACTAATACAATCAAAGTCTTTAAGTTGTTACTCATATTAGTGTCTGCAAAAGCAATTTTTGGCTGTTCTTTCCCTTTGTTTGAATTTCTGTTAATCCTTGGAGCAACAGTAAAGTTGTCTCCGTGTGATCTATAGGTCAGGGGTTCGAGCTGTGGAAGCGGCCACTAATGTTTGCATTAGGGTAGGTTGTCTACATCACACCCTTTAGGGTACGACCCTTCATCGGACTCTACATAAATACGGAATGCTTTGTGCACTGGACTGCCCTTTTTTTCTTTTCCTTTCTTGTGTAAAATGTGACTGGCACACTACAACAAAAGCAAAAGGAAAAAAAAGAAGAGATCTGTAAAGGAAAGAAAGGTGAAATTGAAGCCATTTGCATAATGTATGGTATACATTGAATATTATTTCATTACCTACATGTTTGTGATTTGAATTTGTCTTCTTTATTCAACTTTTAATATTGGTCCCTACATTTGCAGTCCATTTTTCAAGATTGTTATTTCTTTTGGAAACATTCTTCACATTCTTTATCATGCAAATGATTTCTGGACCCCCATTACATGATTTTTGTTCTAAGCTTTGTTTTTGAAGATTAGAAGATCTAAAATAAAGAAGCAAAAGCAAGACAAAGTGATTAAAAAGCAAGTAAATGAGATTCAATAAATAGAAGAAGAATATGCTTTTATACTCCAGAATTTGCTCTTTAAAAAGGGGCCACAAAGATAATAATGATTCTTGGTTGGGGACAACCTAAATGGAGTAACACCTTTACTATCCATTGACAAAGAAAAAGTATAGGAGAGATCTTATCAATGCATTTTTCCAAAATCTTAATTTATAACAAACATTTGACCATGATTTTGATTTGATAGCTTGGTTAGCATTTCCCAGGATAAGGTTTACCCCATCCCATACTGATAATATTACTATTCACTTGCATAATTGTTAGTAGTTAGTGAGTTAAACAAGTTTAAAGCATACAATCAAGTATTTGTAAGGCAAAGGCCAAAAATTATTCTTGGCAGTTCATGTTGGATTTTGTTGTTTAATAACAAAAAGAAGTGTGAATGAAAAATGGTGGGAAAAGAAATGGAGGGAAGTGAAATTTTGAATGGTTAACAGGGTTAATATTGCTTGTAGCCTCCTACCAAAGTACCACTCGCCTATTCAAGCTAACATAACGCCTATATTCCTATGGAATTAGGATTAACAAGAACGCATTTACAATTCCCGTATAGTAACCAAGCAAGGCGATTAGGTATATTCCTATCCTAACCGCAAATCCGCTCCCCCTAAGAGTTAAGATCTTGTTCTACTCAATCTTATATGCAATCTAGAATTCCCTCTCCCGAGTTCAATCCTAAATTCATAGATAGTATTCAATTGGTGATCAAGCAATCAAATAATTAAGCGCAAGATTGAATAAATAAACCAATATGATAAACTAAGAAATCAAAATCAATATCCCAATAACAATAGTCATGAAAGAACCACAACCCTAGAACGTGAAGTTTAGCTCCACATAGACATGGTAGCAAAACAACAAATCATACAAAGAAATATAAAAAGACTAAGCTGGTGGAAGAAAAGATGAAACCCGGCCTCCACGACGGCTCTGTGCTCTTCCTTGGTCAAAAATTGCTCTCAAAAACGTTCTCTCATATATATATACCAAGTAGGGTTGGTCAAGAACAATTATACCTTCTCCAATGTGAAAAAGGACACTTTTCCCTGGTGACTCGCGCGAGTTCGCGCATCCTTCGCGCGTTCTTCGCGCACTATTCTGCCTCAGCTCCCTAACACGCACGACTTCGCGCGTTCTTCGCGCGTTCCGTTCCGAATTTGGAAAAACGTAAAACACGAAAGTTGTAGCCCTTTGAGTTAGCTTTTCAACCATATATTGTGGAGCCAAAATGAAGTTCTGAGCAAAAAGTTATATCTATTTTACTAGACAGTGCGCAATCTGCCTACTGAAGTCTTCGTTTGCTCTAACTATCATCCGTTGACCCCCCAACGCGATCCTGGCTCGTATCCTTGGGCTTTTACTCAGACTTCAAAGCTCCAAATCACTTGAATTCATTTCATAACATCTACATAGCTCGGAATCACTCCTACAAGGCATATAACACACAGTTAGTGCAGGACACTAGCGATTAAAGCGCAAACTCAATCAAAGTGCAGTAAATTAGAGTGCAATAAGCGACTAAAATACGTAATTATAGCCTATCATCAAATTCAGTAATGCACTTTGTCCCTCATTGGTAGAAGGAAAGAAAATCTTTTTGTATATAAAGAGAAGCTCATCTTTTAGCTCTTAAAGAGCTAAGAAGAAGGCAAGCCCCGCGCCGTCGTCGTCGTCGCTCGGCTCGGCTTCGGATTTGATTAATCTTTTTGGACAAAATTCTTTTCAAATATTTAATTAATTAATTAAATTAATTAAAGAAATTCAATCCGGAATAATCCATGACCCGCGACCCGGCCCGGTCCTGCCCATTTTTCTTTCCCGGATTATTTTAAATCCGTTTTAAATTTCCCGCAAAATTTCCAACAGCCATGGCTGTTCTGAAACAGTGTCACATCTGTTCCAACAGCCATGACTGTTCTGAGAGGTTGCAAACCTTTTCATAAACAGTACCAAATTGGCTATAAATATTCCTTCAAATCCCAGAATATTTACTTACGAAATTTTCTGATAATCTTCTTCTTCTTCTTCTGCACAAAAATTCCAGTGTGTTTTCCAGCCTTCGAGTGGTTCGCTGTTCATCGGCGTTCTTGGTACCAACACTCCGGTGAGTTAAATCGTTCTATCCTGGGAGGATATATTCCAGAACCTCGGGTACTTGAGGGGAATAATTTTCTCAAGGACACACTGTGTATTCAGTGGGCTCGATTTGTTCCTATACCGTTTTCAGAATTTATTTTGAAGAAGTTTACTGTTTTCGGAATTTAATTTCTACTAACTTTCTGTTTCTGTTTTCAGAAAGATTATTATTTAATTTATTTACAACAATACAGATATATAACAGTTCAACACCAGACAAGCAGTGGCGGATCCAATCATGAGTTCATGAGTTCGGTAGAATCATGTGTTTTGAGGTGGAATTCTACATATATGTGCTAAAAATGATGTAATAGATAGAGTTAGATATACATTTGAGAATTACTCTCTCAACTCAAAACTTGCAGCGTCTAAATTCTAGATCCGCCACTGCGAATAAAGCAACACAAGTACACAACAATTCAAATTTATAACCACTATCATTTTCAACTAGCTTGATCTATTCTAGTATTCTTGATTGGTAAGTGAGGGAGAATGGGGAACCAGCAAACCCAAGCCTTAACATCTCTATGAATCGCCCAACAAATTTCATCATATGGAACATAAGGGGTGGAAACAATGACAATTTCAGGATGAATTTTAGGGAAATGATAGACACTCACAGGCCATGCATGGTAACCTTGTTAGAGACTAGGGTGGGGAACCACGCTGAGATGCTAAATGATTTTGGTTTTACGGAGATGGTAGAAGTACCAGCTGAAGGCCAGGCAGGAGGCATGGTTGTGATGTGGAACCATGAAGCGGTCACTGTCCAAAACTTCGTCCGTAGGAATCAGGAAATCCATGCAACAATAGAGGTATTACCTATTCGTAAAACTTGGCTTTTTTCTTCAGTTTATGCTAGTACTGATATGCATAATAGAAATGTTATGTGGGAAAACCTAGAGAATATTAGTAGGACCTATAAAGGGCCTTGGATGGTAGGAGGAGATTTTAACGATATTTTAGTCTCAAATAAAAAATTTGGTGGAAAACCTCTAAATGACAGTAGAGCTAAGTATCTTTGGTCCAAGATTAACAATTTCAAATTACTTGATCTAGGCTTTAAAGGGTGCAAGTATACTTGGTCTAATCACAGACATAGGAATAAGGATCTCATAATGGAAAGACTTGATAAAATACTAGGAAATGAGGAATGGGTAGAACTATTCCCTAAAAGCTCTATAATACACCTACCTAAGACTTATTCAGATCATAATCCTATACTAGTAGAATTAATTCCAAAAAGTAGGTTAATTCATAAACAACCCTTTAGGCTCGAGATCTTCTAGTGCAAGCATCCGGAATTTCACATAATTATTAAAATAAGTGGTATGGATCTGACTATTTTAAAGCTAGCCAAAATTTTGTGGATAACATTAGGGCTTGGAAAGACAAAATTTTTGGTGATATAATGGGGGGGAGGAAATACTAGCAAGACTTTAAGGAATCCAGAACTCCAGGAATTATGCCTATAGTAATTTCCTTCAAACATTGGAAAATTAATTAAAAAAGGACTATAATGATATCCTTAGGATTGAAGAAGATTATTGGAAAATAAGATCTAGGGTAATGTGGCTGAACGAAGGAGATGCCAACACAAAGTTTTTTCACATTTCTGCCTCTAATAGAAGAAGAAGAAGAAGAAGAAGAAACAAGATTAATTTCTGTAAAGTTGATGCTGGAAATTGGATTAATGAGCCCCAGTTAATTATGTCACACGTTCTTAATTACTTCTCAAATACGTTCACCACTTGTCACTTCAAAGCAAGCTGGATTAGTCCCTTACTAGATAGTGAAATTAAAAGGCTATTTTTTCGTTTAAACCTTTCAAAGCACCATGGCCGGATGGTCTTCACCCTTTTTTATTCCCCAAAAATACTGGAATATTACAAGCCATTCAGTAGTGAAGCTATGTCATGATAGTTTTAAAAATCATGAAATCCCCAAAGACATCAACAGAACCTATCTTTGTCTAATCCCAAAAAACCTAATGTTAATAATATTAGGAATTTCAGACCAATCGGACTTTGCAATACCATTTACAAATTAATTACAAAAATTCTTGCAAATCGCCTAAAACCATTCCTAGAACAAATCATAAGTCCCTTTCAAGCGAGCTTCATGAAAAATAGAAGAGCTTCTGACAATGCAATCATCATTTAAGAACTAGTTTCCAATTTAAAAAAAATAAAAGGTAAACAAAGTCACATGATCTTAAAAATTAATTTGTAAAAAGCATTTGATCGTATAGAGTGGTCCTTTGTCCATCACACTCTAAGATACTTCAACTTCCCTCCTAAATTCTCAAAACTATTATTAAATTGTATATCAACAAGCTCTATAACAGTTTAAGTTAATGGCTCCATCACAAAATTCTTCGAGTCAAGCCGAGGAATCAGGCAAGGTGATCCCATATCACCTTATATATTCATCATTTGCTTAGAAATGCTATCAAGATATATAAATCATAAAATTGATATTAGGAATTGGGATCCAATAACCATAGGAAGAAGATGTCCAATTTTTCTCATTTATTTTTTGCAGATGACCTTACTTTAATGGCAAAGGTCAATAACAAAGCCAAGCTATTAAGAAAGGATTAGACTATTTTT